GCAGCTCTTCGCTCCTTGAAGAGCAGCTCTGCTGCTCACACGCTGCCTCTGCACAGATGTGCATGTGCGTGTGCATGTCCATGTCCATGTCCATGTCCCCATGTCCATGTCCATGTCCATGTGCATGTTGCACCGTCGCAAAACTTGCATGGATATGCGGATGGTGGCATAAGGTGACTGATACACCATCGAAGGGCCTGCGCTGGCGCACAAGCCACAACCGCTAGGGGGGCTGCGTTGATAATTTACCCCCCACGTGCCATACGACCACAGTACGGAGAGGCGGAGCAGACGCGCAGGGCGAGACGAGTGGAGGGAGCAGGACTTTGAGGAGATCAGCAGGAGGATGTACGAAGAGATTAGGAGCAGCAGGGACCCGAGGGACCATGTGGAAGACGGCTAGTGCTAGTCCAACCATCGCGCATCGGGGGGGAGGACGACCCCGGCTAGTCGCCGACCACACCCACAAAGTCAAAGAACCCTGCACAAACATCGCACGGGCGGGGACCTGTTCCTTTTTACCCATCTCACAGTAGAGGTGTCCGTTTTTATTTATTTATTTCGACCACAGCAATCAGCATCCCGTCCTACCTCCTACCCTCTACACGACCAGGGACCACGCGACGCACGAGTTGCCTTCCTCTTCCCCCCCTTTCAAAACATTCAAGTTTCATTGCAAGCGTTTCAACTTTCATTTTATTTATGCACACGCAAATCGCAATCGCTTCGCATCCGATCAGCACACGTCGCGTCGTCACGCGCGGGTGGGGTGGCGTGGGGTGTGTGTGTGTGTGTGTGTGTGTGGCTGATTGCCCTCCTATCCGGTATCGCCGCCCGCGCTATCTCTCCACCACACGAGCACGAGACTCCATACAGACTGCACACATAGATAGAGCTGCGCGTCCGAGCTGCTCGTCGCTCCTACCGCGCCGCCGCTTGCCGCGCCTGCTGCCGCACCCGCAGCGACAGCACCGACGCGAGCGCCGCGGTGAGCACCGCAAGCAGCAGCGTGTCCCACTCCGGCGCCGCTGCGCGCCACAGAGCGGCGAGCTCCGCGGCACCCGCGCCCGTCGCGCCCTCCCCCTCCTCCGCCGCCTCCCCCGCGGCGATGCCCCAGCCCCTCGCCCACGCGGTCGCCAGCAGCCGCCGCGCCGCGAGGACGGGGGAGTCGGAGCGCCCCGTGTGAGCCTGCCACCTAGAGAGTATCAATGAGTACGAGTTCGCACTGATGAGTAGTACTTAGCGAGCGCCGCGTGCGAGACTGCCACCAAGCGACCAGCCGCAGCTCGAGGAGCGCCAGCTGCACGGGCAAGTACGCGTCCGCCGACGCGTCCATCGCCTGGTCGTAGTGCCGCTCCGCCAGGTGCACCTACAAAAAAAGAAAACGAGATCCCAACAAGAATGGCGTCGCGGCGGCGCCAAGCTCCGCGCGAGGCGCACGTCGCTGGGCAGCCCGAGCCCGTGCGTGTACATGTACGCCAAGTCGAAGGACGCCTGCGCGACTCAGCCGTGAATGAGGAGTGGCCACATCGTGACGCAGAGGGGAAGCCTGAGGCAAGGCCTGAGGCAAGGCGAGGTAAACTTCTCCACACACACGAGGTGGTGGGGCAAGGGCCAGGGCAACCCTCGCGACTCCGCGTCTAGACGACAGGAGCCCCCCAGTGCGCGTGGGTGAGCGGTGTGGGAGTCTCGTGCCTGCGTGCGTGCGTGCGTGCGTGCGTGGGTGTGTGTGTGTGTGTGTGTGCGTGTGTGCGTGTGTGTGTGTGTGTGTGTAGAGAGAGAGAGAGAGGGAGAGAGAGCGAGAGAGAGAGAGAGAGAGGGAGAGAGAGAGAGAGAGAGAGGGGGGGGGGGGGGGAGAGAGCCAGAGAGAGAGAGAGAGAGAGAGAGAGAGAGAGAGAGAGAGAGAGAGAGAGAGAGAGAGAGAGAGAGCGGCCTGAGCGTCCCGCGACTCGGCAGCGACCCGGTAGTGGTGCGCGGCGCCTTCTCTCGGCACATCTCGCGTCCCCCCTCGCGATCTCCCCCGCCCACGCGGTACCCTTTTGCCCCCCCCCCTCCAAGTCCACCGGCACCCCGTGGCCGTAGTAGAGGTAGTCCCCGAGGCGCATCTCAACAGCCACGTTGCCCTGCCCCCCCCCCCCCTTGCAAAAAGGGGGAGAGTGTCCCCCCCCGAGGGGGGGGGGGGGAGTCTCCCCCCTTTAAAAAGAGGGGGGGGGGGGGGGTCTCCCCCTTTTAAAAAGAAAAAGGGCCCTTCCCGAACCCCCCCCCCGAAAGGCCCCCCCCTTTTGAGTTGGGGGGGGCCCTTTTTTTCTCCTCCAACAAGAAGGGGACTTTTT